TTTCGGTTCGCAATTCGGTAACTTAATCTTGAGCACGGAAAGTCGTTAGCTAATTAAACAACTATATTACGCTGATGAGATACAAAATGTTTTCATGTGTCAGAATTTAGAAATCAAATGCTAAAAGATTTCTAGAGAAAGAAATTGTTTAAAATGCTTTTGTGATAAAATACTTTTTATCGATCTTGTTGTACTCGAAACTTTTTAATACATTTTGAAAATTAACATATTTGTAATTTGAAACAGAATTAATGTAATTGTTTGCGACTGTATGGTTGTAACTACAAAGCTTTCAAAAATATCGAGATATTTACGCATTTCGCAATAAAAGATTATAACATCGAAAATGTTTCAATTGCGATTTACGATCGCAAAAGGCCAATTTAAATATTTAATTATCTAACAGAATAATTGTTGTTGACACTAATTTGTTCTCTTTTTATTTGATTCTTTCTCATTTGATTAAATGCTTCATTTAATCACCGTATAATGATTTTATATTGCGACGCTGTCTTGGTTCTATTTTCGTGGCCTCGATCAGTCGTTCTCAATAGAGATGTTTTATCTTAGAGCGTCATAAAATATTGTCATTCACACGCTCATCAACGCGGCTGTAAAATAAAGTCGGCATTCATGAGGCGGTCGGCAGATGGGCGTTTTTTTCCTCGTCATTGGTATCGGCCGTGGCTGAGTTACCTATTTCCGTTATCGCGTAACCGCTCTAATCTCCATTACTTTTCTCTCCGTATAACGAATCGAGTGTGTACGCAGCCGGTTTCTCATAACCCGTTACGTAAGACTCGCGATCCCAACGACGCAGCGGATTATTCCGGGACATCAGGACGTTTTACCGAGGATGACGCGACTTCTTCTGCAGCTCGTAAAGATACGGAGCGCAATCTCCTTCATTTTGCAGAGTCCAATAAATTGCGATTTGCGCCGTGCGTTTTATCCAGTTCTCTTCGAAACTGCGATAGACTTGGCGCGGCACATCCAAACCGCCATTTCGTGACTAACCCGATTAGACGGTCGATAAGGAATAGTCGCTGCTTTTCATCATTCGTTTTAGATTAGCCATAAGGCGACCATTTAGATAATCTGTAACCCGAGTGCACGCGAGTTACGCAAAATATCAGTTGTCGAGACTTATCGTTTTAAATTTCGCGTTGAGCGAAATCTATAATTATTATCGATGGTATTAAAAATGATAAAATTACAAAAATTATTTTTTCTGATTTATAAAAATAAACGAATTTAGAATCCGCGTTAAAATTGTTATTAAATGTTCCCGTTTATTTTGTTACCCGCCTGGCGATATTACAGAGCTACGACTGTAAGACTCGAATTAAGAATTTCACAGAGAGATTACGTTGATATCGAAAGACACGCGGCTCGAAATACTAGTCGCCTTCGGCCGTGCGAGAAAACCCTTCCCGGCCGAAAAGATTTGAGCGCGTCGAAACCGGTTTGAGTAAATACACATCATCGGCATTGTCCCTATAATTTACGACGAAATTATAAATTTATCTAGGCGTCAACCCGCCTGTCTTCGCCGGACAATCACTGGGATATCACTGAGAGAAACAACAAAAGGAAAGGAATTAGCCGCCTTCGTGACGCCGTCTCTTTGTCGTCGTCGCATTTAATGTTTCAGAGTCGCTTATTGTTATCAAAGTATAATCAACATTTTAATGAATTTTATGAGCCATTAAAGTAATTAGCGCACGTTGTAATTTTATATTTCAATTTCAATTTCAATTAACAGGTAAAAGCCATTGGGAAATATAGAAAACATATACACGTTAATACTTTTGCAAAACATTTAGCGAGTTTTTAGCATCTTGTATTTTCACACCAGGCCATTCGAGTTCGACGTAGCGTGTCGCGTGATTCAAACGCGGTGTTCCATTAATCGCACATTTGAGAGCCCTCCACTCAGTACAAAACCTGCGTGCAATGCATACGCACGTAGACAGGTACGTTTGCAATCACGTATGCGACATGCAATGAACCGGTTAACTCACTACGAATTACACACGCGGTCGCCATAAATAACGTCGCGCGCGAATCTTGGCGTTAATGCGTCTAACAACGCTGTAGGATGCTATCGTGAATTAAATCAAACGCAGCCCACCTGGCGAGATGTAATAGTCGACGACGTTGTACATGGTGTTCTGGCACTGGCAAATTTAATTTCAACTGACAGGTTCTTTGCCAAACTTGGACTCGTTTTTCGACAGATAGCGTCATTGAAAATGGAAACTTATATCTTCACTTTCAATCGTTTATAAGTCGAAACCTACTGGTGCAGCGACGTTTCAGTTCGCGAATAATTAAATTATGACAATTATTTAAAAATTATTCATTCTGATTTATCTTTACGGAAATTTATTTCGCCGGAAAATTGATTGTAAATTGACTTTGTCATTGAAATTAAGATCGAAAAAAATTGTAGGAACAAAAAACTGCTTTAAATCGTTAGTTTGTTATATTCAAATTAAATTCTCAAATATAATTTTCCTATCTATAATTAATTGTTACTTTAATTGTACTTTAGCTAGCTAAAATTAATTCCTACTTGAGCTAAACTTCCAAGTATCATTTTCGATTACTACGTCGAAGATTCTCGAATTGCAAAGATCAGTTGCGCGATAAAGCAATTTTACTTCGCCGAGAATAGTGGAACAAGAGTGGAAAGTGCCTCGGGATCGAACGAGCAACCGGCATGAAGATTCGCCGTAATGTTGGCGCCAGCGGAAACTCATCCTGGTGAGAGCCAAAAGTCGTCGGCAATACGACACATCCGCCAGCGACGAAGGACGATTCTGTAGGGAACATCAGGGGGATGAAGGAACATCAGCGGGCGGAAATATCACTCGCTTCGACACTCGACATCCGCATAATACGGCGTCGTCACCCCGAGACGACACGACGGTTCTTAACCCTCCCTACAGTAAACGATATTCTGCTTCCGTATACCTGCGTAACGTGCCACTGCTGCAACCGCCACGATAGTTGAACTCCCGCATCTCTCGGCAAGGATGCAGGAAGTTTGTGGATGGATATATATGTAGGAATAATATGATAAAGTTTCAACGAGCGTTCTAATAAGTATAATAACATTATTAAATGAGAACTAATGTTATTAGTTAATTAATAATATTGAGATATTATTTGACTAACAAATTTGATCAATAATATTCTACAAGTATGGTAGAAAATAAAATGCAAAGAACCTTTAACTTATGGCTCCGTAAATTAAACAGACTTTAGTTGATCACGTTTCAAATTTAATAAAAGTCACGAAGAAAAAAAAAGAGTGTTAATGTGTGCGACATGTCTTCTCTCTAAAGAATTTCCACTTCTCGCGCTCGTGGTACCTTTCATAATTTCGTCCTTTTAATTAAACAAATTCGAAGTGTCACAACTTGTTGCTAATGAACCGCGCGAAAATAAAGCCGGGATTAAACGCGAGTGACCACGTGAGGCAGGCTCGACGGATCGTAACACGGTATACCGGTGCCGGTTGCGTCTCGCGTGAGTACGAGCGTCCGCGTGTGTATGCGTGCTTGTGCGAAAAACATCGTACGCGCGCCGTGGGCCAAACCAGTCGACTACTCCCTTAATGAGGGAGATGCTCGTATTTATATGTGCGTGTACATCCCACCGCAACATGATGGTGGTAGTAGTGCGGGTATACGCATACCGCGCGAACAGGTACGTGCCCACGCGAGTAGGCGGCTGGGGCACCCACAGGAAAACCAGCTGCATTCCCTCCCGAGGCTATTCGAGAATTTCGCGTTTCGTCCCGAGTTTGTCGACGTCGTCATCGCGAATTGAGAATTCGAGCTTGGTTTCCGATCCGCGTCCTACACACCTGTTGATGTTAGACGATTTCTTCATTCACTCCGAGAATAGCTTCTTAGGTAGCGGAGTGTTATTTTGATTGATAGGATAGATTAATAGTATAGAATTAGGTTAGAAATGTTGATAAAAAAGAATAATTTAACATAGAGAAATTATATCTTCATTGCAACCAAATTAAACCATTTAGATCCATTTAATTGCAACGTTGATATTATAGAGATACTAGACCTCATTTTCTTGTAGATATTTTTTAAGTTTTTCTCTCTTTACTTCATAGATATATTCTTTGCTGTAGAAATCTGTTCAGTTGTTCCTCTTATACTATATCAAATGTTTCAGTGTAATTTAACTTAATAGAACGGGGAAATTATATTGCGTCGTATATTACTAGATCCGTCTTTAACATTGCTGAACTCTGTACAAGCGATCGAGATAGCGCAAGGTGTTCGCATACTTTCGACTTCCTCTTCCATACATGCGCGTATCTCTCACATGCAATACAAGTCACGAACAGCGAATTCACGCAGCAATATAGGAAAGGGGTAGAAATCGCGCGTAATAAATCAACGCTGCGATAACGCGTCGGATTCTCCTGTTTCTCACCATTAGAATAACTGATCTTGAAGATTAAATTCTTAGAGATCTGCATAGATCGGATATAAGCCATATGCTTTAATGATTTATTTCTAGCGAACGTCTAGTAATTGAATTAAAAATATAAATATTCTATTTCACAAACGTTCTCAATTTTCAGATTTAAATTATAAAATGGAGCATGTTTTATAATTTCAGTAATTTGTGGTTTGAATTTAAATTAAAAATTTGTAAATTATACTTTTAAATACGTGTAAATAATATTTTAGAATGTACAATATTAAATCAATGAAAAATATCCGTTTTCAAATATTGTTTCTCTCTTTTGAAAAAACTCAAATTCTGATTTAATGCACAAAAGTAACCAAAATAAAAAAATCTATCAAATATCGGTCAAATATCTCTTAGTTACATATTACTCGCGAAGCGAGTAGTCAGTAGCATATTTACGCGATGAACCTTTCTTTGTGCCGCTCCTGGTCGTTGTCCCTCGATCACGATCCCGATCCATGCCGGCCAGTCTTGCCGCGCCAGCGCGATCGAGAGGATCGATGCTGCCTGGCTCACACGCGTCGGTGTTTCAATTCGAAAAGTCGAATACAGTCGTGCGCAGTGATTTTCGATAGAATTAACCGAGTAGTGAAGTGAATTCGGTAGTGACACGTATCTCCATTTGTGCAATTACTTGTCGGATGTTTCACGTGGACCTACTGCAATCTGCTGGAGGTTCGCAGATTAAATAAATCCACCGCAACGCGCAACTCGATTCCCCCTCCACTCTCAAATGTATCAAACCTCTCTAGAAAATTACGAATAATTCGCCAGAATTTTTCGTTTTTTGCTTCGTTCATTCCTGCGTCAAGAATCTGTCAAATGATTCGATGCTTTTTTTCCCTGCCCGGTGAAATTATTTGAGTGTATTTTTGGAGCAGAGGCAAAGAGTATAAAGTTCTCTCTCGTCTGTGTCGTTAATTCAAGATTAAATTAATGAGCGCCGATTAAGGGCTTCCTTCTTCTCACGAGATCACGACTCGCACTGCTTGAAACGACGGCTTATTACGCTCGATTTAGATTCCAATTGACTGCGTAACTCGCGTGTACCTACACGACACCCCGTTAAATATATTATTCGAATTCTTCCAACCGTCTTGGCGAAGTAAGCACATATCCCGAAGTTAAATGAAGTGAAATTCGCTAATTGCAAAATCCGCTTAATGCGAGTTGACTCACGAGTGCCTTATAAGTAACTCATACAAAGAAGTATGAGTATACGTTTCTCGCTCGCTTCTGCGTCTAAGTTCTTCGAAAACATCAATCATATAATTCTAAATACATACCTTGTCAGAATCGCTCGAAGCCAACCGTGATTTCTTTCTGAAACAAAAAAAAATTAATAGATGTGATAATGTAGAAAAGTTAATTAACAGTCAATTAAAGTTATCAAGAAGTCGAGAGTTTCGACATTTTGTATGGAAATTTTACGCTCTGAATTTTTTCAATTCGTCCCGTACAATCGCGAGAGAAAGGCAGCAGGTTGAATGGCGCGCGGCGCTCTTTTTATTCGCCGCCCGTTAATATGTTAATTCAATTTATCTCGCGGCATGCAACGCGCCCCATTCGTCTCTGTCCATCGCTCGATGTTTACATTCGTGTTCATTTCCCGCGCCGTTCCTCGGTTCATCCGCGCCGCACGTTATTTTTCTCCGCGGCTTTTCCTCGCTTGCGGAATTACATCTCCGCATATATCAACGCGGCTGTCACGCTTTTCCGATGTCGCGACTTTTCCCGGCTACGAACGATAATTATTATCCCTCAGATCTCGCGCTTCTGTAATGTCGACGGTTAACTTTCACGTTTGATAAATATATGGAATCTTACAAGCTGTCTCGAAAATTTGTACAATGAATGTCCTTATATAAATAAGGATATGTGTGCGAATAAGATCTATTATTACGCTTCGTTAAGACGCGGATTAAATTGTCGCAGTAATCCCGCATTATCCTTGCAAATCATAATTCATGACAGATCCGCGAATATTAAAGCAACGAAGTTCGGGCTCGTGCCATCCTGCCAGTTTCTTAAGAATCCTCTCCTCGAGCTATCGTAATCCCCGGGTTATTAGCGTAAGCTGAAATTCCTCGTAAATTAACCCTCCATCTCGAAGTTTAACTAAGCACGTCACCTCGTATGTCTGAGAATTAATTTTCAAATTAGTCGCAGGATTATAAACGAACAATTGTCGAAGTAACAAAAGTCGCCAAGAATTGACCTTGTCACCGAGTTTCATAATCTCCAAGCTGTGCAAAGATACGATCAATATCGCGCTTTATCGCGGTAACAGTGCATAATCTCGGTGGTGCAACGTAGTGCGAGATTCTCTTTGAAGTGCTATATACAAGGGGCTGCAATTACCTCCGCGCGATCCGCGACGTCGCTGCCAGTCCGCTTCGCAGGATGCGATTAACGGGGCGATTCGCCGTTACAGCACTGTGAAATTCGCGGCGCGCCGAGCGATCGGGAAAATAGAGCAATAGGTGCAAAAATAGAGACTATCAATCGGAGAAATCGGCCGCGAGATTACCGGCGATTGGTGTCTCGCGAGGAAAACGCAATCGATGTACCGCGATGTACCATCCTTGTAAATTGCTGGCGCTCTCGTTGCGCGATAACGGCACTCGGCTGCCCGCGGTATAGCGGCTCGCAAAAAACCTCGACGGAAACGCGAAATTACATCTGCGCTCTAATTGGACACGATATCACTGCGATTCGAAGAAATTTAGAAATTTTATAAACGTTATTGCAGTGAACATTATCGTGCAGTTAAGTGCGGTGTACATCTTTGGATACACAAATAAAACAATAATGCAACGGATAATTATGATGCCTCTCAGTCTTAATTATGACGAGTGTGACTAAAGAAAATTTCATATCGTGTTATAGAATGTTTCTAATGTAAAGGGAACATTTTTTTCGCAAAGTTGGAGTTTCCCGCGCGACGTACATATATCGACATGGAGTTTATTGCAATTTCCACGTGGTGACTCGCGCTGTGAATTTCCGTCGACCGGCTCGACTAGCAATACAATGTTACGCGTCTGTTGTGGTGAATTTTGTGGCACTTCAAACGACAGTTTCCGCCGCAGAGTAATAGTTTCGCAGCTCGCTGTAGCTACGGATTGTTTCTGCACCGAGAACTTTGCGTCGCAGCACGCTGCGTTCCGATAATTTGCTACGATAATGTCCGCTGACAGAAACTTGCTGCAAAACCAAAACCTGAGGTTCGTGAATTTACGGCTGATTGACCAGCGATAAACAGTATCCGATGCCCGTCGCAAGAAGTTGCGATGCGATTATCGGGCCGCTAAGTTTTTCAGCAAGTTTGAGAACGTTTTGAAGCAGGAAATCGGAGATAAGAGCAAACTTATCGTTAAAGTGCCTGATAATTTACTGGAAAAATTGTCGTATTTATTTTTGCCAAGTAACTTTTAACGAGTCATCGAATCGCCATCCAGGATAATTAATGTGAACAGTTAAAAGTTACGTTGAAAGTTATCGCTTCCGTCTGTCCCGATCGTATCGCGCTTACCACATCGATGCAACGAGAACCGAAGCAAATCCGTATTATTTCTACGCTGCATCGCGCTGCATCGCGTGAGCGAGTAAGACACACGGGATTCTTTTCCACGAACTGCTTTTTCGGGAATTCATCGTTTCGCGCGTGAATCTGCCGTGCAACCTCACCGAGCGATAATCTGTGTCTTCGCGGAAATCGGAGCGTTGAAAACCGCACAGCTGTATACGAGAACGCGTTTACGTCGAAGGACGCTGCGAGAAGTTATTCTCTGCGTTGCGAATCGCGCTACACCTTTGCGGATCCGAGAACAGGGGGACCTTGGGCGCACCGCGCTGCACATGGAAGAAGGCCGCATCGAGCGCTGCGAAAGGCGCGATTCAAGCGCGGATGCATCGCAGACGCGACGGAATTCAACGAGTTCGTCGTCACGGGAATTTATCCGGAGTGCAACGAGCAATGATGCAGTCGTCAAAACGAGTTCGCGATACGGAGTCGCAGCGTGCGGAAGAGAGATAGACGAATAGGTGGATGCAATCGTCCTGTTGATGTCGTGCGACGATTGACGGCGCGGAGATGTTTCTCGGTTAATGCCGGTTGCCCGGCACGGAATTGCACCACGTCAATGCGTGACCTGGAATCATTCGGATAACGCAGCCGCGGTCGATTATCGGGGATAACAGCGGCTGCCCCTCGGCGAGGCAGAAGGTACGTTTGCGGAGTTATATTTGTAAGGAGCGAATATGTGGAATAAAGTAAGAAATTTTGAGACGTAAATGGGATTACTAAATTTTTAGATCCCATTTTTGAGAATCGTATTTGATTATGCATTGACAATTGAGACTGTGAATTGGTAATTAGAGTTCAATCGAATAATCTCAACTTTGGCCCCGATAAATCGAATTCCAATGTACAATTCGCAATCTGCAATCTCCAATGCAATCTGATACAAGCTTCATCTTTTTGCAGCATGCATTTTCCTTCAATATAACATATGTTATGATGTATATATTTTTTAATATAATACATACTTACATAACCTTTTCCACTGTTGATTTATATTCCCCTATTTTGAACAGAAAAATTCTTGCAACGCGTAAGGTTATTATAAGAAAGATTCTACTCTATTTCTCGTGTGAACTATAAGATAAGTTATATTTGCTTTTCTCGAAATACAGAGATATATATGCTTGGATATTTATCCTGGTATGTTTATTCTGGATACGTTGAGCGACTTCGACTTTGGCTCAACATATATACACGACCTATGCCGAGTATGCATTAACTTTAGGGATTGAATCGGCTTCGCGGTTACGTTAAGCGTTAGAGACCGCGGAGAAGATTTGAGGAGGCGGGTATTTAATCGTCCCGTTAAGGAAACTGCGATAATGTGGGAGGTGTTTATTTCAGTAATCAAAGCTTGACGCAAGCAATGATGTAACGATGAAGTAATAACATTTTTTTGTCCTGTACTGCCATTTTTTATCCTTGAAATTTATTAGTTCGCAAATGAAATTTATTATGAAAACATTTATGTAATTCTATATAAAGTTGTAAAATAAACAAGAATAGTAATGACTTGTTGTTTTATATAATTAGCAGTGTGAGATAATATAATACTCGTATGTAAATATAGCAGGAATATGTTATAATGAAACCGCGTTTATTCTCGGGGTTAATCTAAAAATATTTTGCAGTTTTAATAATTAAAAGAATTTTATATCTGATTCCCACGTATATTCACGATTTCCATTTCACCATTTATCTCATATACCATTGTGCAACATCGCGTATTTTGTCCAAAATAGAAGCATTGCAGCGGAAGCTACAACACAAGATAAAACTGGAAATTTCGCATTAATGAGTTAAATCCCTCGGAAGATAACTCGGTAAGCGTCACGTACATACACTCGTAACGAACGCATGCGCACATGTATTCGTATTGCGTGATAAAAAGCGTATCACTCGCACTGAACGATTCATGCGATTCACTATTATCAGCATGAATGAGCTTGGCGATACAAGTCCGACGCCCTCGCCACTACTAGTGTTCGTTATCTGTGTGTGAATGCACTTGCTGCCGATCGTGCCGTCAGTTTTGAAAAGAGAAGAGAAAAGAGAGAGAATGACAGAGGAGGACTAGTAGGTAACGAGAATATCCGGTTCCAAACAGATCAAAAGGTGATCGCGCATTCTTTTGGTGCGAAAAATTAAACACCATTTCGTTTTTGTGCTTAACATCTTGCTTTAGTTTCATTTTGTGTGAAGCATTCTGTCATTAATTGATACTTAAGCGTAATTTTTGTAAAAAAGTGATAAAAATTCTTTATATTGTTCATAAAACTGTATTTGCCTGTATTATTTATAAAAATCGTATTTATATATTATTAGCTTTATTAAATTATTCTGTAATCACAAAATAAAAAATTAATTTTAATTAAAACTTGATAAATTATTTGGTACGTTATTATTGATTTATTATTAGTAAATTATATCATTTATTATATTAAATAATTAGTATATTATTATTATACTATAGTTATATTATAGTAAATAATTATTATATTAAATATAATTAGCCAATAATAGATTTTTTTATATTACATAATCTACTGCCTCTCATTATAATACAATAAATAATTAAAATAGTTCCGTAATTGTTTCATAATACAGCAGTTTCCAAAAAAACTTTACATTGTCGCTTCAAAGGATACAACGTAAACGAGAAAGGCGCCAAAGGCAGTATAAAGTCCATTTTCACACGTGGTAATAACGAGCGAACGTAAATTAGCCGCGTAGAAAAAGAACAAAGTGGCGTTTAACTTTGCAGTGGCAACGTGTCTCAGGCGGCTCATGACATTTGTTTGTTCGCATGGTTTGTTTGCCAAAAAAAGGAAAGAGAGAGAGAATCCCTTCTGGCAGATCTCGTGTGTCGGGTATAAGAGAAAAAATAACACAGAGGGTATGTGACGAGAACAAAAGGATCAGGCTCCGAGGGCCGTTGTGCGGTCCGGAGTGAAGAAACCCACGCGGAGAATGTTAGGACGAACAAAAAAGTCGTGAAGTACTTCTTGGAGCCGCCACGAGGAACAACTCTGTCAGAAATCAGAGTATAGAGAGAGATTACGCCGAGAAAAAGTGCCAAACTATAATACACACATAATGTGTGTACTTCAGCATTATAATGTAACAATTACTTTAACATAATTATAATGGTATATTAAATATAATTGTATTCTACTTTAAATAAATATGTTTTACATCAAAATATATCTATAATCTTAAAAATAAACTTCTTCAAACCGGAAACTGTATTCATTAATTCAAACTAGGTTTTTAAATTATTAGACTTGGAAATTGTGAGATCTTTAAATACAAAGAAAAATTATAAAGTTGCATGTCCCTACGTGCGGGAGGAAATAGTGAGCCTTTCGGAAGACTAAATGCGTAGGCCTCACGTAGTTGCGTTCGGGTTATCCACCCCGAAGGCAGCTCTGTCAAAGACATGAATAGCCCACCGGCTAGAAGAAAGGAAGAGACGAGAGGATTGTGAAAGAGGGCCGAATATTACCAAAGGCCACTCGCCGGTAGATACCGGTATACTGTCTGGAAGAATGGGTAGAGAAGATGATAGCAGATAAAATCGATACATCGCTTTCAGAGGTACCTAAGATAAAGCAGAGATATGTGAAGAATGGCGGTTTTTCGCTCTCAATCATCTAAGATCTATTCGATATTTTTATGACTCTCTGCGAATTTCGGACGTAAAAAAATTATTAGTTTCTCGAGACACGACATTGTTTTAACAGGAATTTTATCCCAGATATTAAAAAATATGAACAAATTCCGATAAAGTCCATTTTTGCATCGCGACTAAAAATAGACGATACATCACGGTGAAGGACTCGTTGTCTATCTTTAGACAGCCGCACGGAAAGGTCCGAGAGTACCGTCAGCGTCGAGCTTGATTTATCTCATCGCCCTAGGCGGCGGACTCGCATTATTTAATTCGAAAATACTATCGTACGTAATCATGACGCGCGCGATGTCAAAATTGAACATCAGCGAGCGCTTCGAGCGACACGAACCGTGTGCTGTACAATAGCTAATAATACAGATAAACGGTAAACGGTACAGCGATCTGAATTACGAGCGATTCGCGATTGGAAACATCGCGCGACAAGAACTCGTCGAAATGATAAACGTATGGCGGCGGAGTCGAATTCAAGGCAAAGGTTTCTCGCGCGCACTTAAAAAAACCTCTCGCGGCGCTATATCGACCAGATAATACAAGACCATTAATCTTGCTAAAGGATTGCTGCTCACCTATATATCGCCAGATAATGTAGCTCCTCGTGCGACGCCGCTTAATCACGTACGCATATGCTCGCGCTCACATTAAACACGCGCGATTCTCGATAAGATTACTCTCGAGTGTGGCACGAAGCGTTTTATTACGGCGCTACCGCAGGAAACGAGCGTGTCTTCCGGTCTCCGTCACTATGAGAAGTATCCCGTTGGTTGAACGAAGTAATTGACAAAACACCCGCGATTACGATTGAGTACTCTGAAAGCTGATTTCCGCGCGCGTAAAGTGCCCTTCTTCAATGTTGAGATGATTTATTCTTTTTGAATAATCGAGCATCTTGCAAGATTTGCTTGTTTAAACTATTTAAACAAATCTTAGATGTCTTTTTTTTTTAGCAAAAAAATTCTTTGTAAATTGATTAAAATAATATCAATAAGTTTTTATATAATAATCTAGAATATTTTTACATCAAGATATTTACTAATTATTTTTTTTTATTATATCTTAATAAGAAAAATATATGTGTAGACATTAACATTGAATGCTGTGAATAAATGCAATCCTATGAGTGAATGCTTTTTACATGTTGATAAAACTTCTGATTAAATTGAAACAAATGAAAAATTTTCTCACTTTATCTTAATTTTTATTTTGTTGTTTTCAGAATAAATGTCGTAAAAAATACAATATATGGAAATGAGTTTTCGGTTTAAATGGTTGACATTCTATTACTGCGATACTTGGTAAACAAAACGTTTGTTTATTTTCTGTTTTCAATATTGGCCATTGTGCTCGTCCCCAAAACAAAAATGATGAGAACGTCCATGACAAAAGTTTTACAAAGAATTTTTTTATGAAATCAATGAATTGATTAGCGTACAGTATTATCAATTAGTAGAACAAATTTTCATTAACTAAAATATATTTTTAATTCACATATCAATTAATGACGAGGAAAAATCTATATTTTCATATCTTTTTTAGTCCATTATCATAATTACTCTTCACTTTAGAGATATGACATATTTAATAAAAATTGCATTAACGAAAAAAATAAAACTCGTTTTGTCGCGTGGTTTCTTATTATTTTATCACATTTTTATATTTTTTACTAAAATGTGAAATGTGTGATTCACTTCCTCAGTTTTTTGCCAAAATTAGAACAGACTTGAGGTAACAGTCATTTCTAGCGTGAATAATTTGGCTGATCCGGCACAGTCAAGCTTAGATGAGAAGAGATCAAAGATCTCGTCACCCGATTAATTGAGAGGTTAAAAAGCTTAAACGGCGTGCAAAGGACTTCACGTCCGGACTAACGAGTCTCGATATACATATTCGCTTCTTTCCGCGATCGTCGGCCGATAACCAACCCTTGTTATTACACAACCGTGCCACGGTCGTTAAGCCCACGCGATTATTTTTACATTCCGCTGTCATCACAGCGAGATATCCGCGCGCCGCGATTCATCCGAGAATGTCAATCGATGAATTATGTATATGCACGGCGACGACTTGCCGCTGACACCCTACAGAGTTCTTACATGAATATATATTGTTCTTCGCGGATTTTTACACGGAAAATGCGCGAAGGCGTTTTGCGAAATCTTTCAAGATTACAGATATTTTCACATGAGAGTAGCATGCATTTGCAATTATTCCGCAAATTAAAATATATTTTAAGATAATTTAAATTTCTGTATTCCTAAATTAATGAAAAAATTTATTACAATATATATTTTAAGAGAAGAAATTATATGTAATCTCTCACTTCTAACACTCTAATACTGACCGCTTCAAATTGTAGCGAAATCTGCATAATGCGAGAGCAAATGTCGAGAGTTCGTTAATGAGACGATATCACGAGTTGAATCGCGACGAGTGTCTATGGACGATAAATCGCGGTAATCGCCATGGATCGTAGTAACCTTCGCGCAACGTCGCAGTGGTGTTAGTGCGTTAGAGGATTCGGGTCGGCGCATTCGCGGAAACACCTGAATTTTGCAGTACCGTTAATTACACTGGCTAAACACACGTATGACTTGCATTCCTGAAGTGCATGCGGCGAACATTTTCATTGAAATTAATATTCCATCCAGCGCAAACTCAATCTTTATTTTCTGCGCATTATGCAATATGACATAATTAAATCTTTTTACAAAAATAAATGTTCGAGAAGAATTTATTCATTGTTTGATATACATATACATACATACACATTTTGTTATATTATCCTGATTATCTGTGTTTTATTTTCTTTTTTTCTTTTTTTATTTTAATAACCTTTATTCTCATTGTATATTTCGTAATGCACAACAAATTTATCTTGACACATGTAATTATTTTTTAAATTAATATAAATTCGTTAAAATTATAGAGAAATCTCTTTTTTTATGCAACTTGAAAAAATACCAAATACGAATAAAACTGATAAAAGTGATTAAAATAAAATTAAATAAATTTAATAAAATAAAATAAAATTAATAAAACAAATTTGCCAAATTGCACAAAGGCTTCTGTCGATTTTCAGGTCAATTTATCGCCGGTGTTGCCCATACCATGCATGATTCACGCGTGTTTCATTACGACGCGGTGAGTTACGCGTTATCTACGATCTAAAAGTAGAATTCCAGCCCGGGGGGCTTTCAATGCGTGTGCTCGCGTGGGAATCATTAGAGGCGCGCCAGAAGAGCTCACAGTGCAGCTCGAAGCCGCGACAGTTTAATTCAATTTACGCCGTGCGCGCGGTCTTACTGCCTCGTGTGAATTGCAACTACCCTTCCCGCGGGGATAACGATGTTTGCGATCCCGTGCGATTCTCGCAATATTCATATTTACTTTACGCGTCCGCCAATGTTAACGCACTGTCGAATTATACCGACGCGCCGATGATTATCGCGCAACGGGTCCTGTTTAAACGGGATAAAATTCACCATCCCTCTTTTTTATATATTCGCAAATATTATATATTATCCAGTTACATCTCTGCATTATCCGTCCTTTTCTTTCGCACGTTGTTTTATGAATATTTGTTCGGCCCTTTATTTTCGTTGGATGATACATCATCGCTAAAAACCGATTGTTTGCCGAAAATACACAATTTGCATTGATCCGATCGACGTTTCCGATAAGCAGCACGGTTTTTCGTATTTTCGTTTAAGCGCGTACTATTAATCGCGCTTTGTTGAATTTACATTCGAGGCTGTTACGCGTTTAATAACGGACCTTTCAGCCGTTAATCAGATCTTCGAATCGAATCTTGTTAATTATACCAATTTGCATTATCAGTGCGTGTTATCGCGATCTCATCTGAGAGAGAAGCGCATCGTTGATAATCAATGGAAAAACGCGTTTACATACGAAGAATACTGAATATTATTTCTGGAAATTGCAACCGTTTACAGCCCAAGAAAAATTTATGTAGAGCGGAATAAAAACTTGAAATAAAATTTAATACTGTAATTTAATATCGTTTCAAAAATTTTAATTTAAATTATAAAAAGCTATCAACACGTGCAAAATGATCAGCATTCGAATTGTTCATCTATATTAATTTTTTTTTCTACACATTTTACGCGAGTATCGTTAAAGAAGAAAAAAATTGTTTTGATCGAGATAAAAGAGATATTATTATATTAAATAATTAAATTAAATTACCATATTTTAAAGATTGAATTTTGCATAAAATATTGTGATCTTTAAATAAGTATTCACATTTTTTAACAAAGAAATTTCTAGTTGCCTCAAATTGTCTCTATTTTCATAATTTAAAAACATTTAGCGATGTTTTTCTAATAATCAATGAAATATTTTGAACTCAGGCACTTTATGAAAAAATAACGCTGTTCCGCATTACTGGTCTCGGCACGCATATTAAATTCCGTTAGTCTCTCGGGTTTCTTAACGATTCCACGCACGATCTCCTCGGCGAGCATATTATAATATTTAATGTCCCCGAGCTCAGGAACCGAATTAATTCACAAGCCGGATATCGGTCAACTACCGGAAATTCCACGAACGACAGAACGTGCTGCCGACGCTGGACAAGTGGCGGCGGCGGATCCGTGCGCAATCGTTACGGAAGCGCGCCTTCTGCCATTTATCGCCGATCAACGAGATTTCCGGAACGTGGTCGAGTTCGAAATGGCGAATTTCGCCAAGGGAATTTTAACCCTAAATCTAAAACTATATCCTACAAGTTGCATCTTCGATTTTCGCAATGTAAATTCTTAATTCCTCGTTAAAATGCTTTCTGTCAGATCAAAACATATGTAAATTAGATTAGCTGTGCTTTTTTGATTACTCAATTTTGCCAACTCGCAACACGATGAGTTGGGTCAGTCTTTGCAAATTAAAGTGGCGTATAATGTGCATGTGAGGCTCTGCTCGAAATGCAGCGGTGGCAATGCCGTTTAGCGGAGCACGCACGTAAATTTGCGAGTTGAAAAATTAACGAGAAGAACGTTCTTTGCTGGCCGCTTTACATCGCGCGTCCGCGAGTTTGAGAGTTTATTACGCTAGATTTGCGGAAACAGTTACTGCACGGGCCGTTTCCAGCGGGTAATTTTTAGTACTCGCTCGCAGTACTCGCCGGAACAGTTTCTGGAATTTTACGCCAAGTTAATCACATTATTAAGGCTGATAAATTAGCCGACAAATTTTACCCGTTTCTACTTTCAGTTGCTACAATATTTGGAATAATAATACATCTTTAAATAGCAGTTTTATAATTGTGCAATATAGTTTTCCATTAAAAAAAGTATATTTTTCTTTCAAATAAATCAATATTTTAGATATTGGTAGAAACATTGTTAGAAACAACGCTCTTCCATATTTTTTTCATAATTTTGATAAATTCTTCCAAATCAACTAAAATAAAATTGTTATTTTTTCAGATTTCTCATATATATTTGCTCTAATCTCCAATTTTTCAATTTCTATTTCAGAATCTGGTGTCTCCAATCATTACCCTAATCTTTTCGATAAGATATGATTAAAATGCTGCCATACGACGGAAAATGAGTGATGAAATAATTTCGAAATCCCACAACGACAACAACAGTCTCTTCGCCGACGAGGATGCGCCCGAAACGGGCGGCGGCGCTTCTCGTCTGGTTGCTTCATGGATCACGTCGAGAGGGCTGACGAACGCCGAGACGGTAGACACGTGCTCACGGAACGTGCAGAGCTTCACGACCTTCCGCGTTTCCGGTTTGCCAAGGCGGGAATTGCTGGCGCCCAACGACGACAGGATGCTCAATCATCAGCGTGAGTCGACCGAGCAACGTCACGCGCGACAATTGTCTGCCCCGAAGAACGACCAGAGCGAAGGGGCCGGCAGCGCCCTGCGGCGCTACGAGAACGCGGTGCTCAGGTACCAGAAGCCAAAGGCGAGACCTAAGCGACAGATCAGCCGGGAGCGTCGACAACAGCAGCGCAGCAATTACTCCAGCAGCGACGAGAGCGTCGCGAGACACAAGTCGAAGAGCACCAGTTCGATCGACACGCAGTCGGTGAACAATATTCTGGACGAGTACGAGGATCTGGACTATCGCAGATCATCGGATCTCAGCGACGTTGGCAGTATCAGTGTGGGCAACTTTGAAGCGGTGATGATGGATCAACAAAAGCGACAGCAACAAGGAAAATCGAAACTTTCCGGCGCGAAGGTTCTGGCTAAATCCATTCCGACGAGAGAGAAAGTTCAACCGGTACTAAAGGTGAACCAGCAGACTCAGGTGAGACAGCGTTCGCGGGACAGACAGAAGGATTCTAGCAAAGGACAGCAGCAAGATACTTGTGTCTCGTCGTCGGTGATGACGGACGCGATCGAGAGCGGTCGCTCGAGGATGCCGGAAGTGCTGCTGCGCAAGGGCGAGGTTCAAAAACGAGTGGACGAGTGGCTGAGCCAAGCGCACAGCCAGAACTTTCCGCTACCGCGAGAAAAACCGTTGACGAGATCCAACAGTAGTGCCGAAAAAAGCCAGCGTAGATATCGGCAGGATTCGCGGGTCAGATCGATCGACGAAGCGCGAAACAGACTGAATGGAGGCACCTCGTCGAGCTACGACGATCTGACTCGTGTGGAGCGCAAGATCGAGCGCAGCAGGCTGGAAAAAATTAACGTCGGCGTGAACACCGGCAGAAGCGCATACAAAGAGTACCTGACGGTCAAGAGCAAAGTCAAACAGCAGGATTACGGCGGCTACGGCGCTCAGCCGAGTGTCGCATCTTCGAGATCCGGCGACTCCAGTCCGGCGTCCAGGATTCCGCAGAGAGGACCGCTCGGTTCGAGTTTCAGATCTCGACGCGCCGAGACGAATCCCGAGGAGAGAGGCACGACCGAAAGTAGAATCGCGAATTTGGCGAGGGCGAGATACGAGTTTAATCACAACAGAGCAATCGTTAATAGCTCGAAAGTGGCCGAAGTGTCTACTGTTGCGACTTCAACGACGACGACGGCAACGACAACAACGTCAATTATACCCGGCAGGAGACCGTCGCTGAAGCGTTCAGGCAACGGCGCTGATCAGAACTGCGCCGCGGTGCGCTCACTCGTTAAGGAGGAGACAACGGACGCGCGCTCGCCGCGCGGGACGGGCGGCCCGTCGAAGGGCCCGCTGTCGGCCGGCGTTGGCCTTGGTGACCAAGGCGACCCGATCTCACCAAATAAGGACGGAGAAAGTAGGCGGCCGGCTGTTACGGCGACTGGACCAACGCCGCGGCCCGCCGATAAAGCGGTCGAGACGGCTTGTAAATCGATGGAAGCGCCGGCGAGATGCGCCGCTGTCGGCCATCCTCGGGATGTCTTGTCGAGGATCGCGGAATCGGGAAGCGAGTCGCGACGTCGATTTCAAGTTTCAAGTGACATCCGAAGAGAGTACAGATCGCACGATCAGTTGCGACAGGAGCAGCCGATCTACGGTTTACCTGTTGGCGCACGAGTGCGGGCTCTTCAAGGTCAGGCGGAGTCGCGCGGCCCGAGAATCAGGTGTCATCAAGCTGGAGAAATATCGATGGAAGCTAGAAAACCGCCGGCGGTGCTGCCGCGTAAGGATTTCGGCGCGTCTTCTTCGCAAGATACCGGATCGCAGGAACAAGTGAAAGCGCCGATCGGCGCGCCTTCGTCGAGTTTCAAGCCGAACAATCGTGCTTACACCGCGACGAGCGGTTCGCAGCAGCAACAGCAGCTGAATGAGCAGAATGCTGCGAGGTCCAAGGTCGTAGCCTGCGAGGCTCCCCCGCCCGGTAGAATCGCGCGTTACGCTTCGCCGGATCATGTGGAGAGAATTTACGAGCGCAGTTTGCAACCGCAGGTGATCCATGCGAACGATCTCGAATCGATTCTCCGACCTTCTCTGCAGGTGTCTCCTTATGGCGAAAAAGTCGGCGTTCCCAGATCGGATCGAGAATCGCTCGTCAAAGAGACGTCGACGGCACTCGAGAACGAACCGTTCGCAATCGGCGAGTCACGGCATGAGCATCTCGAGACTATCGAAGAAGACGATCGGAAGAGCGAGAGCTCGGTCTGCAAGTATCCGGAGATCGGTTTGAAGCAATGTTTAAAGGTGCAGCAGAGTTTACCAAATAGCAGATCGAAAGAATCAGTGGACAAAAGAAAAGACGATTCGTCGATTTACGCCAAGTGGGATCAACAGCAGCAGCAGATTGTCCTTAATGAGCCCGCGAAGACCTTCGCTACGTTCCAATCGATATCACCTTGTCCGACTAACGTCAAGCCAAGCGTTCAGCCTCGATCTACGGAAGTGAAAGAATCCAAAGGTTATGACGAGGTCAAGCAGAATCGAAACGAGCCAGCGACAATCCTCGAAAATTTTGCGATCAACGAGGACGCGTTACAGGAAGATCAAGGTCAACTCATTGCAATCCACTCACGAGAAAACAGTAATCTATCGACCGCCACGATTCCCGTCGATGAACTAGAGAATCAGCGAGGCTCAAGATTCAGGACTGGGAACGATCCGCTTCGGAATAGATTTCAGTTCAATGAAAAGTCGCATGACCGCGCGATTGAGGAAACGACGAAGGACGTCGATGGTGCGGTAGTGAATGAAGTTCTCGTGAAGAATCTGCAGTTCGAGCAGGATCTGCCGAAAAATTCAATTGAGCAAACGAAAGTGGATAACGTTCAACATGTGAATTTTCGTAATGTTCTGTGCGACGATTACGAGAAGTTGAAGAACAAGAAGATGTACATGACGAAGGAAGAAATGGATCACCAGAGATTAATAGACATGTTGAAGAAAGGAGACTTCGAGATGCTGAAAATGGTGAGTAATAAAAATATTTCGTATTTTTTATATTAAGCTATTGTGTTGATTTAAAGATTTTTCCGAAAAAGAAATACAAATATAAAAATTTGTAAATATTATAATTTATCCTTTAAATTGTCGGTGAAAATAATTAAAAACTTGATTTATTACTTGTCAATCCTAATTTGACATTATCATTGTCAATTACGGTAACATTTTACAAGTAAATTAATTTTTGATCTTTGAGAAAATTACTGTATTAAAAATTTACTTGTTATAATTCTCTTTATTTAGTTTCATTTTCTATAAAACTTTTCCTTCAAAGAGAAATTTTTTGCGAAAAGTTTAAAAAATTACAACAATACATTAAAGTATGCAATTTTTTAAAGTGTTTTTCGTGAAACCGTTATAATTGCTACATCAAATATTAATCCAATATCTTAAAAAAATTGACAAAATTTTTGCAATTTTATTACGTAATTACTGTAATTTTATACATTCGTGTAACTGTAAAAAATTAATCGCGCCGTACAACTGACACATATTCATCAGTAGAGAGTGATTTACATCGGTCGGAAAAAAAAAAGGAGAAAGCGAATTCATCCGCAATCGAAATTCAATCTCGGCGAATCGACGATACGCGGTTCGACTCGTATCGATTGTTTTCCCGTCGCAAACTACCTTGTTTTAATCGCGATAAAACTCGTCGACAAGATATGCCTGACAGTAAGCCAATAATTACGCTCGTGCTGCTACACGATAGTCCATGCGACGAATCCACGGCTCTTTCGGTAATTACAAGCTCCGCGTATAATCGAGATTGTTCGTTTCATTCGGCTCTTTATTCCGATCGAATAACAAATACACCAAATTGCCATTATACAACACCCCAATTTTGTTTACGCGTCATCGCGTTGTCAATGAATACGCAATTATTTAACAGTGTGAGTTCTAGCTTCCTGAATCGCGCGACGCAACAACAAAACAACGGAATTAATTGAGTAAATTGTGACAATGGAATAAATATGAGATTGCAATATTGCACAATATTAGGTTCAATAATTATTTTAATATTATTAAAAAATACCAATTTATTATGACCGTTTAGCAGTCATTATATTACGTCCTTATAATATAATGAATGAATTAAAATCATTTTTCTAATTAATTCTAAATTAATCATTAATAAATGCCAAAAAATAAATGTAATATGCAAACTATAACAAGAATCAGAATTTTGAAAGCAAATATTGGTAAGGGGAGCAACAGTTGATTACAATTTAATTTTCTCGTGCTTGATATGGTTATCTCAGTTCGTTTAATTGTTTTCTCGATTTATAAAAAAGCAAAAAGCAAAGTTCTATATCACTAAATTGCGCGTAGGGGAGGTTTATAAAAGAAGCATTGCTGATGAGGTCGAGACGCCTTCTACGTGCAGAATGTTGCCGACGGAATAAGCGGTAATCACGCGTCTTTTAGTAATGTTAGTTGTCATAAAAGAGGACTGTGACGTAATGTAATTATCAAGTTTCTACGTTGCGGTCGTCATAAATGTGATGTAATAAGGTGTGCTCGGTATATCAAATTTTCTCCGCGGGTGTAATATTTCATTCCCGATGGCACGCAGGGTGCGGAAGGATAATTCACAGGTCCCCTGACTTGAAATACGCGAAAAGCACCATCGTCGATAACTAATGTTTTAATATTAATAACATTTAGGGCGCTTTATATTTCAGCCCGATATTTAATGAATCATACATTTTTACGATTTATAAAAAAAAATTTTATAATATGCAAAACAATTGTTGAAAATAATGGCACGTGCAATAACAATATGTGCACTCGGTCTCTTTTTCCATTCTAAAATAATAGAAAATTCCAATAAAATACAATGTGAAGTATCTGAACTGAAAAAGAGCTTTAAAAGGCCTGAAAAACTCGCAAAAAAAATATTTTTTAATTTTGCATGGGTCGACACAAAGACAACCTTTTAATACGCGCTAGCTTTTGATACAAATATTGTTCTTGTTTTAAAGGCATTGCTACGCGGCGAAATTCCACAAACATCCAATGACACGCTTGTAACGTTTACGTGCATCTTCAATGGAGCGGCTCGTAAACACGCCAAGTGGTAAAAGCGAACGATAAAAGCACGCGTAAAGCATGCGTAGGGTAGATATTTAAATAAGCACGAAAACTGGAGAGCCGAGTACGCGTACATGTCCCAAGTCGGAACAACTTTGCTCGTGGCTCCTCTTGAAGGTGTACGAACGAGAAGATCTCTCGTCTCGTCGCGTAAGAAATAAGGGTGACCGTGGTGGACCGAGAGGGCGAGAGAACGGAAGAGAACCGGTAGGAGAAAGGAGAGAGCTGCACGATTTATGATTCGACCCAGCTGGGAACCGGGCATAAGGTATGCGGTTCATAGTACGCTTTAACGCGCAAGAAAGGCGCAATAAATTGTTCCACGCGTGCAAGTACGTCTCGAGAGTCGGGGAGGTAAATGCGAGACTCGCCCTTAACGAGATTTGCCGGTCACATCCTTTCCCCGCGACGTTGACCTTCAAGAACCAACGAACTCATTTTCCCTCATCCGCGTTCGATGCAAGTATGCAAACTCGGCCTGACAAACTTTTCTACGTCGTTGATGGAAAACGGAGATTCTTCGTCGCTACGACGCAAGTAAATGCAATTTAAATGCATTAAGCACGCAATTTTCCACGTATTGTCTATTTGTATAAAGAATAAAGACCTAATTTAAGTCAAATTTCAATTCTATGAAATTATTAATCCTTTTCTCTATTTTCTTGTTATAAAAAAAATAAAACAGATCGTTACGTAAGATTTCGAAAAATAATTAACTGATATATCAGCATCATCCTTTAACGCCGCCACCATTTTTTCTCGTTGACTATCGCACAAATTCTGAACGTGACACGCAAGATAAGTGGCGCAATTCCTGCAGCCGTCGTTATGCGCGACGGAACGTATCGCCATGGCGCATGCATCAACGATTTATCGTTCGCGCAATACAGCCTCCTCGAAAGTTCATCGCGCCCACGAAAAGCGTGAATCGCGAATTGTTAGTTTGTAACGGCCGTAAAGACGACACTCGCTCGTGTGCGTTAATGGGATGGATCAATGTGACGGTTTTCTTTAATTCAAAACGAGTGCAGATATATTTTTTGTTTCTTTCTTCCAGACCCGAAATCTAAGCGCGTTATCAAACGCAATTTTTCAATATATAAAACACTCAGGATTTGCTTACACCGCCGTTGGTCGTTACGAAAGGATCAACACCCGATTTTTAACTAAATTTCACATTCCGCAATTCTTGTGATAATCTTGGAGTTTTGCGCGTTTCGGTAACGTTGGATAATGCAATAATTGTACAGCAGAAATAATGCCTTTTATAAAATAAAAATAGACAGAAAAACATCTTGTGTAACATTATTTATCCCGCATAATTATTATACTACCATTATATTGTTAGAGCATTGTATCTCGCAGTTTAATAAAACTATCTATTATTGAATAATATTGCTGAATTTCTGTTATGCGATGGTAAAATATTGCTTAATATTTCACGTTCAATGATACATGATCTAAAACTGTGTTATTTATTTATCGATATTGTTGGATGGCATCTTGCTTTTTCATGCCACTCCGCATTCCTGATTTTCTTATTTCCTTATTTTATATTCGTTTTGCAACAAGAATCAAACAAAAATCGTAATATCAAACAAAAGATTTAAAGCTTTTCATTAAAAAATATCACAAAGCTGCTATGGAATCAGAAAATTCTTTCGGTGCAACGTAACGACCATCATTAAAATCAGATAAGAAAATCAAAGAGAATCTTTATCAAACTAATTTTATATGATAGAGCATTATATGTTAAAGGCGTTTATTATTTAAAAGAATTGTCAATGTTTTTTAACTCCTGTCGAGCTGGCCCCCCACCTTGCACAAGTAAAAAAGCCAATAGCGCAAAATTATAAGCTATTTATGAGC